AATCTCTAGCTTGGCCCTAATACTCAGTTTTGTTACGTGAGGAATATTTTCCATCAGGCATCGACACAGCCACCTATGCTTCAGTAATCTGCAGTGAGGATAGCTAGCTTTAGCTTAGCATGTTGATCTCCTCTAATGAGTTTTCCAATCAGCTGAGGCTCCAACCCTCAGTCTGCATCCTGAGGGAATCGTTTCTATCAGGTGTTTCCTACCTATCCGGTGTAAGATGATCTGGGGGATCCTGGTGAAATCCAGCAGTCTGTGCTGATCGTCCATCTCCACTTTGGGCCTTTTCTCTCTTCCTTTAACCTCCGTCAATGTTTCTTCAGCAGGAGTTAACTGCTCGCTGATAAACTCTCCTTGAAGATGGACTGAACACATTCTCCCTGCAAACACTCACACATCATCAGCCTCTCTACAAACACTCCACGGAGGAAGGAAGCTAACGCTGCTGCTGCTGCTGCTGCTGCTGCTGCTGCTGCGGGACCCACAGACTTCTTCTTCTCTTCTATTATGGCGGATCGCAAGGAACTTTAATGTGTATACCGCCACCTACTGAGTGTGTAGAAACATAACTTTTTATCAAATTCTATTTTTTTATTTTGTATTCTGTAGATAAATAAATAATGCTTTCTTTAATCTGTGAATATCATTTATATTTCCTTCCTTTCCCAACATTCCTTTCAGACTCCATTGTTTTCCTGTTCTTCCAATTATTCTTCTCAGTTTCTCCCTTTCATGTTTATAAGTTTTAAAGTTCATCAGCACATGTTCTACATTTTTTTTCCACTTTCTTCACATTTATCATTATTTTTCCTCCCTACTAAATATAAATTGTTATTTAAATATGTCTGAGCCACTCTTAATATGATCATTCTTACTTCTTTCCTTCTGTTTCTGTTTTTTATGATTCTATTTAATACTAATTTTTGAACCTTATATAATCCTCTTCCTTTCTTCTCTTCATTCCACCTCTCTTGCCATTTTCCCATTTCTTTAATCTTAAGTGATTTACCTTCATGTTATTGAACTCCTACACATTACTAAATGTTACTAAACTATAAACATTATAAACACAGGTGTTAGCTAAATAAGATTTCCAACAAAAATAAAAAATTCAGAATAAAATACACAAACATATTGTGTACGCCTTCTGACCAAACAATAGATGAGTTTTATGCATTTCTATGTGTATAGAGAGGCCAGTTTTTTTGTGGAGGCGTTCCAGTTGCCAACTTTGGCTTTCATGAGGCGAAGCTCAGGAGTAAACCAAGTGGCAGAGCAGGAAAAGGACACAGACTGGGTTTTGAGAGGGGCAAAGGAATTGAGAATATTGGAAAGTCCAGAGTTGTAGTGGGTGACAAGGTGGTCTGGAGAGGAAAGAGCAGGGATTGGGACATTGTCAATGTGGGAGGATCAAATGTCTGTGTTTATGTTCTTAATATTGCAGAAGGAAATCTAGCGGACACGCTTGATTATCGAGAGAGACAGGGAAACGTTGAAGGACAGAAGAAAGTGATCTGAAATATGGACATCA